GACCCCGGAAGCGAGGTAGCAGTAAGAATAGATACTTTTCGTTGCCTCATTTGCCTTGTTGAGAGGAGTAACATCTTGACGAAGTTTTATTTCCGCCATTAGGTGCTTAATCATGGCTTTAGACTTATCACTATTTATGTCTGCAGAACCACATGAAAAGGGAGAGAACACGTCAATGTCGGGATTCGGGTCATTGCTAATACCATAAAGCTGGCACACTTTGGAAACGACCAATCTGAGAAAGGTTTTGATGGCGTCTCGATGAATACAGTAAACTTGAGATTTTTATTTGACACGAATATGCGGAGGATTTCACGAAGGTCTTGATCGTTCCGAGGTGAATATTTATCTCCATCATTCATGAAGTTGAGTTCTGCCCCATCATTTTCAAGTGCGGGTGGTTGATACATCTTACGTATATATTCTTTGAGGCCTTCGAGAGTCACATGTTCGATATTTGCGGTCCACTTATTTGGCTTCCGTTTCGGGTGAACAATGACGTCGAAGTCTACAATGCAATGGTCGGTTAGAAAAAACCTCACAAAGTCTCTCTTCCAACTATTTTATACATACCATGTGTGGACTTGTTGAGTAATGCCTGCAACAAAGTGACTTGCTCGAGTAATTCCTGTTCACGACTCGAAGTGGTGGTGGACTCTGGCGGAGAGACTATGACATGAATATTCCTCTTAGGCGGTTTTTCAGTCCAGTAGTCTCCAATTTCTCTTGTCGTCCCCGTCATTGAGTGTGAAATTGCTTAAGAGATCATCCTGATCGTCAGGAATTTCCTTTTTCCATAGTTTCAGGTCTTTGGCGTCAACATTAGCGAAAGTTTGCGGTTGCTCTTCCTTAATAGCTTTCTTGAGATGGCTAACCAGCTTTTTCCTATCAATATCTACGGCAAAAACACTAGCGGTCGTATTTCCTTTGACGAGACATAGTAAAGTGATAGGCATGTTTTCGGCTTATATAGTATTTTTGTGAAATATTATTGGTGGAAACTGGCGCAAGTGAGGACAAGAATAAAAAGATTTTATTTTGCGAAAAAAATACTGAGGCAGGATATATGTGAGAAATTATTCTGTTTCACAAGCCTGCCGTGTGATCAGCTACATTGCATCACGATAGCGCCTCCCTAACCGTGAAGACTCTTCACATTTATCACCTGACATAGCGTTACGTTTTTTATATAGGTTAGACTGGTTCGGATAAAAATGTTAGATTTATATTCATGAACCGCATCATTACATATGACCATCGCTCTCATGTATTGTACATTCGATAAAATAATAATACTTTATTCATAAAATAAAGAGTCAACAACTAATACATAAAAATATTAAGGGTTTAGAATTCTATGATAATATGAATTTTATCACTCGGGGGTTCAACAGGGAAATGGTCAGAAATTAATTCATATGGAAAAATTGCTAATTTTTTTATCGATCTCATTTCCCTTAACGTTATAATACTCAATCTGATCGGAAATTTTTGTAGTTGCTCCGGTGTCAGCCTTATAAATGATAAAGTTATTCGGATCAAGATTTGTGAAGAAAGGAGCCTATCGATTCCTTATCATAGTCCTTAACTCGTCAAATGCTTCGTTTGTGGCGATTTTAAGTACAGTTATACGATGACTTGAAATTTTATTATCAGATGGGGTACGAGAAAAAAAGAGACAATTGAGCCTAATAGTTTTGGTCATTAACCAACTCATTTCCTAATGTAAAAACCATAGTAAAAATTGTTATCATATGGATACAAGAATACTTCGAAAGATTTTGTTGTAGATAATAAAATTTTATACATACCTTATTTTCTCTGGAAAAGTTTTTGAGGAAAGTTAGCTGAACTTCTACATATTCCTACATGCTTTATATCTTGCTGGGAAAAAGTTAAGAAGGTATAAGGCGTAATTAGTATTATCATATGATGCCAAGAGTCTCTTGAAAGCACATGTAAACGGAATCTTCATACCTTTTTACATGTAGATCTACCAGAAAGACATATAGTTGGCTTTACGCCTAGCGATCTCAGAATTGTGAGTCTACCAGCCTTTCATAACATATGCTTTTGCCGTCGGTATTTACTTTTACAGTAGGTCCTGTATTACGTGTAGACCTCCTTTCACATTTTTCTCACATTTGTTTGGAAAAAAAAGATAGAGGTATTGGTTAGCGAACATATATGCGAAATTAATATGCGAAATTAATATGTGAAAATGTCGCACAGATTTTTGTCGCACATGAGTACAATGCATTGGAGCTTCGCATAGATCAGCAAATTCTTCTGAGCTGTTGATCACTGCTCCGTGATGATGATCTGTATTCTGGACTCAAAATTTTCCACATTAAATATATTACTTTATTATAGCAATCATGACAAGTAATACCAAAACACTTGCTCAGTTTTATGGAGTGCTTTTATATAAGAAGAAGGATATAGTAGCTATTCAGAAAAAACTCGGTATCAATGGCAATGCAAATAAATTAGTAATGCCTCCAGATTCTGAGCTCATGGGGAAAACACTTGCTGATTCGTACGAATTGTTGTTAGAATTGGTAGGGGTTTTAATACCGATACAGGAGAATCTCAGAATCGATAGTAATCCCATTCTAGAAGAGGCACTCCGAAGCAATAAAGCTTCTACAGATATTTCATTTAGTGAAATATTTAATTTGCTTATGTATTTGGAAGATGATATAGTGGCAATTCAGGATAAACTCAGTATCGTTGGCTATTCTAACCAAGAAAGGGCAGAAGAAGCTGATAAAACCATAAGAGAATATCTTCGAAAGTTTGAGAATTTCCATGGTCTCTTAGAAGATGGTCTAGATGTGATTTTACCAAAATATTGTGAAATGGGAGTAAAGAAAATTATGTTTACTGGAAAGGGGCTTCCATTATTTCCGAAGTTCTCTCCTTAGCAATTGCACGAAATATTTGTCAAAAATTCAGCTAGCACCGATCAATGCCCATGTCTAGAACAGGTTAGCTAATCTATATTTTTTGTCACACAGGGCATATCTAGATGCAAAAAAATCTTCCAAGCTGATGATCACTGCTCCGGATTAGTTAGATCGGTAGAACTACCATTCTGGGGCTAATATTCTTTCACCAGCTCTATGTCGCTGGCGCATCTGAGATAGAACCAAATTCTGATTATCTCGCATACTTAGATCTAAAAGATTCTGAAGGCTCTGTGCTAGAGTCTGTCTACTAGCAACATTGTTCTGTGTAAGATGATTTATAACTACTCTAATGAGATCAGAAGGCATTGGAGTTTTCACAAAATTCTTTACGTGGATATTTGGATTTAGCTGATCTACTTTTTTTTGCTATTTTTATAACACCCCTCTAGCTTAAGATATTTTAAATTAAGACACGATCTAGTAATTTCTTCGATAGTTATATCAGTAATTTCACAAAAGCAAAGATCAAGTTGCCAGAGCCTTAGGCAAGAACGAATAACATTACAAATTGATACTTCAAAAAACTCTGTATGATCAGAAATATTTAAACATTCTAATTTATAACATAAATTTGCGATTGCAGATAAACCTTCATCATCCACTTCTCGAGCACGAAAGCCCCTGAAGCCACCTGACTGATCATTACACAGATTAAGATACTTCAGATTTGGGTATGAACTCACTATCAGTTCTAATGCTCTATTACTAAATCCTATGCTATTTATAAAACTCAAATGGGTTATATTTGGGCATGAATGTACAATGCTTATGATTTTTTTATCTGAAAGTGAATAATAGTATGATATTTCGAGATGAGTTACACTTGAGCAATAAACTGGTATTTGCTTCTTATGTACTAGCTTTATGAATTTTTTCAATTGTGAGAGATCATTTATATGTTCTATTCTTATGAATTTATTAAATCGAGAGTGATCCTTTGCACAATAATTATAATCATTTGGAAGAGATTGTCCAGGATATAAGTCTTTTCTCTTTAGCTTAATACGCTTCTATAGGATAAGAACACTGCATCTGTATCACAATCAGGATACAAATAAAGTAGGATACAGTATCTTATCTACTACTAGGAAATATAGAATTCACTCTAATAGTTCTGGTATAATAAAAATGCTTGAATGCGTCATAAATAATATACTCTGTATCTTTAATCAAAAAAAATAAATTAACCTCTAGAAGAAGAGCTAGAAAAACACGTCTGACTTCAGCCAATTTTTTCCAAATATCAGGTAGTGATACCTGGATTAATATATTTTATTTTAAGATATAATTCAATTTCCTTGATAGTTGTATTAGATATTTTACATCCATAAATAACGAACTCTTGAATCCTCAGACAAGAATGAATAACATTCCAAATCGCTATTTCAGAAAATTTTTTGCGACTAGAAATATTCAGATATTCTAATTTATAACATGAATTTGCGATTGCATATAGACCTTTATCAGTTACTAATCTATTACCATCATATTCTCTCAAGTTGAAGTACTTCAGATTGAGATATGATTCTGCTATTCAGTTTAATGTTTTATCACTAAATTTCACACTATAATGTAAATTTAAATGTACTATATTTGAGAACAGGCCTACAATGCTTTTGAATTTTTTATCTGAAAGATGGTAATCTGGAATTTCTAGATGAGTTACAATTGAGCAATAAACTGGCTTCTACTTCTCACATATTATTTTCATAAAATTTTTTTGTGCATTACTCCTCTTTAGCTCGATGAGTTTCTATAAAATAGGAGTACTGCATCTATATCACAATCGGGATACGAATAGAGTGAGGTAGAGAGATTTATCTTTTGCTAGAAAATATAAAACCTGTTCTAACATTTCTGCTATATTAAAAACACTTGTATACATTATAAATAATCTGTATTATATGTTGTATCTTTAATCGAAAAAATATCTTTTGAGCAAGACTAAAGGCACGTCACATGATCACTGATCTGGACTAAGCATTTCCACTATCTCATCTAACGCAAGCACCTATAAACTATCTATAAGAACTTTAAACGTATTCTCAGGTGATAATCCTTTGAGAAATTAATTTTTAAGAAACCATTCTGGATAGTTATAGCTTAAATTACACTCTTTCAGCTTCAAATAAAATTCCTTTACTATATAATTACCCTGAGTCAATCCTTACATTTGAAATTTTATTCTCTCAGATAATACATGATTTGCCTCTCTTTCCCATATATCATTTATACTGCGAGAATTTTTTAGGTCCCGTTCTGGAAGATACTTTAGAATGAATGGTATTAGTTCTAGCGGAAGTTGTTCTAGTAAATTAATTGTATGCATTTTATATGATTAGAATATCTTTCAATAAGAAAAATCATCTGAGCTGATGATTACTGCTTCGGATTATTATTTGGGAAAATCGGTCAAACTACAAACCATTTAACCTTTCTTCATCATACTTTTCTTTGGTGCTTATGAGGAACGGTCTTTTTATCTCTTACCTGATTTATCTCAACTGAATCAGAATCTTCAG